TTGAAGAAAAATAGAGAGCTGAAATCCTTTAATAGTTTGTATCTCATAGCCCAATAGAGCAATCTATTGAATCTATAACTGATGAATTCATAATCAACATCAGCAAATTTTGATTTAAAGCATTGGTTTCTAAACTCAGCCACAACTAAACTATATTTGACTATTTGCTTATTCATAACATATGGTTTTTAAAGCATAGCTGGTCTCATTCAGTTTTTCCTAGATGTTGAATAATTAGCACTTGAATAAACAAATACAACAAGAAATCATTAGAACTAAAACTATAAACATTTACAACTGGAAAAAAAAACACTAAAATAAATTTCCTGTGGTTTTACAGCCCTTTTTTCAGTTGAATCATTTCTTCCTATGTACACTCTTCCTATGTACACTTCCTATGTACACTGTCCCAGAAACTCACAAACACATTATTTTAACAAAATCAGCCCTTAGTCAGTGATGGTGACATGCCTTTAATCCCAGCACTCAGGAGACAGTAGAAGATGGATCTCTGAGTTCAAGGCCAGCTTGGTCTACAGAAGCAAGTTCCAGGACTGCAAGAGATACACAGAAAGCCTCTGAATTAAGATATATATATATATATATATATATATATATATATATATATATATATATATATATATATTATAGAAAAAAATTAAAATCATATCACTCCTCCCCACTGGGTATTATCCTTCTCATTCTCCTACTGCCTCATAAATATCACCTGTCCCTTGGAGAGGCAGACCAGGTTTTTTGAGGGACACACTCTTTTTATTGCATTCTTTTGTTCAGAAGGGCCCTGTGGAGGGTGAGAGCCAGCTGCAAGGTGAGTGGCTAGAAAGTTCACAGAAGGCTATGCAAGGTGCCCTCACCTCTCAAAGTCTCTCAGCCCTGTCCTTGGTGTCTCTTGAATGCCTGAGTCCTCTGGTCTGAATTGAGTCCTTCAAGCTGTTCTCAAAGCTCAGGGGCTTCATTGCAAACGAAGAATGATCTCGCTGCACTAGAATTAACTCTTCCCCAAGAACTAGTCAGCTACCGGAAGACAAGAGCCATGCTTAGTCTTAGTCTCCGTGATCTGGGCATGGCACACAGCTTTTTACTTAAGAAATTGGTGTATCGAAGCATAACTCTATAAAATGAGAGTAATAAGATATCTGCTTCATACAAGTGTTTAGAATTTAGATTTCCTGCATCAAAAATGTCACACTAAATTACTACTCACTCAAAAAATACCACATTTGAGAATAAATAGGTTCATAGCCCTGTTGATTATTGTGATTAATCTGTCCACTTTCTTTAAAAAAAAAAGAGATGGTTTTATTTTTAATTGAGTGATCAAAGTCTACTTATGGATTTAAGTATGTGTACTGGTGCCTATAGAGGCCAAAAGAAGACTTTGGGTCCTCTGGCACTGGTGTTATAGGTTTTTATATAGCAGTTGCTCCCTATTGGTGCTGAGAACTGAACTCAGGTCCTCTGCAAAAGTAGGATGTGCTCTTAACTGCTGAGTCATCTTCCCAGCCTGCGCGTGTACATTTTGTGAAGGTTTTCTATTCTTTTGAGTAAGAACACAAGGCAAAGAGCCAGTTGCTCACTACCTCTGCATGTACCCAAGATTCTCCTGTCCCATGGCTGTGTTATTACATTCATATTTCAGACATTCCTTTGACTTTCCTCCTGCATACTTCAAGAGAAGCGACAGAACTGCCTAGCAAAGATAGTGCCTTCAGGCTAGATATAAATTCTATACACAGGAGTTTCAGCAAAGAGGGCTGTCAAGCCTCTGGCATCCTTTGATAAGATTATGTTGGCTCTCTTCACACCATGTTTTCTTCTGTGGTTTTTGTTTTAGTACATGTACCAAGGGAGAAGAAAGTTCTATAGAGCCAAAATAAAGAGGCCCAGAAGTGGCTGGAGCACAGGGGCTTCCAACAGTACAAAGCAAAATGCAAATTCTTCTCCAATGTCTGAGTGTCATGGTGTAATTTTCATCCCAGAAAAAAAAGTTCAAAAAAGAAAAGAAAGAAATTCAAGTAATCTCACCAGAAGGGCTGTTGGCATTCCCAGGGGCAGAGCAGAGGCTGGTGGAGCAAGGTACAGCTTCCTATGGACAGTCACATCTGTCCTGTGGGCCAAGGATGGTCAGGGCATAAGGCAGGAGATCCTTCCCCAATGTTATCATATGAACAGTGCTTGGCAATCTTATCACGCCATCAAGAACATGCCACCTCCTGTGCCCTTGCACATGGCTCTTGTAGTTTGGACATGAAATCCAAATAAATAAATTGCCAAAGGATATAGTCATTGATTTATGAAGACAAGAAAAGATACATTATTAATAGTCTTTATACTTTTAAAGACAAAAATTTTTTAACAATTTATTTTTAGAATAAGATATGTGACTAGGTATGTAAATAGTAATGTGGCATCTAACAAATGATTATAAACAGATATATATGTTTATACATAATTATATATATGTATAATTATCCCTAAGATAGGTTAGAGGTCCTTTACCCAGCAGGAAGCAAGATTAGTGTTTGGTCTTGACTCCACCATTAACATGGGAAATTTACTAAAATTTCCCTATTGTGGGGGTCTTCATTTACTTAAACAGTTAAGATAGGCCAGTGCTTTACAAATATGGCCTGTGATGAAGTTTTTAATCAGTCTTTAATAAACTGAAAAAAAAAAAAAGATGGACACTGGATTGACTTACATGTCTAGTGAAATGTACTTATTTTTTTAAACTAATGAAAATGGCTGGGTTTCCTGAACAGCAATGATTTTCCCCCCTCACTTTGAGCATTCTCACAAAGCAAAGTCAGGTATGACCCCTATCAATAGAACCCTGCTATTAAAACCTACATTCATTTTCACTGGTCCATAAACGCAAAGGCTTGGGATGGACTATGTTCGTGACCATTAATCTCTGGCTCTCAACCTCTGTCCTCTTCTTAAATCACAGATGGTATCAAACTCTAAAGCAGTAAGGAAGAACATATCCCAGCACCTTTTCAAATGTGATCTGTCACAGACAGTCTCTGGAAAAATATAGCTGTACTTGACTAGAAGGGGGACTCTTGTTCAAATGGGTTTGGGAAACAACGGGTTAAAAGGCTGAATACTTTTTTTCTTGAGAAATGTTTAAATCATGTAGAATGGTATCATCCATCATGGAACATCTTCCACCCACCCACCCCCACCCCATAAGCATGAAGAGTTCCTGAAGTTATTGGAGGAAAGCTTCTGCTTCCCAGACCCTTATCTATTATAGGGCATTCTGGAACAGACTTTGACAAAGGTGAACAGCTTAAAGAGATTTCGATAACTTTTAAGAAAATAAAAGCAAAGAGAGTTCCCATTTACTTTACAATAGTTATAATATAACATTTTGTTCAGACTAACCAAAATAGATTGTTAAAACATTACAAAAGAAACATTGCAAACACATTGATGGGCAAAAACTAGACAAAAGTTGTGTGCCCAGTATTGACAGCTATATATTCTTCTTTATCATTACAAACAAAGGCAACTTGTACCAAAAGTTCTATATCTAGTGATTACAACAGGAAAATTAAGGCACCTAAGAATTTACATAAGTTTGTAGTAACCAAATTTGACTATCATTCTTCCATAGTAAATACAAAGTAAAATAAATGCACACACACACACACACACACACACACACACACACACACACACACACACTTGTAAGTTTTGAAAGTGAAAAATACCAAAAGCTCCTTTTAAATGGCAAAATTGCTAAAAGTTACATCAATGTGAACAATTAATTATGGATTAAGTCACAGTTCATTATGATCAAGGAATGAAACTCATGGTAGAAGAAAAACCTAATGGTGTTTGGTTTTGTTTTCTTTGCATAATCATTGGATCAGAATTGGGGGTTCCTTTGCCTTCTTCTGCAGTTCCCATCCCGATGTGAGCTACTAACTAGCCAAATGCCTCAGCCTTCACATTCTGGATTCAAGTTTCACTTTACCCAGCGGGGGGAAAAATGGACACTTTGCGTTTGAGACTGGATAATCCTAGACTGAGCTCTCCAGAGAGAGGACACAGAGGCGTCCTTTCAGCATTCTGACCCTGAGCTTTTCTTTCAGACTTGGTTTTGATGAGGCTGTGCCGTGCGTTACTGCTAATATTTTCCATCATAACTGTACGGCAAATTCCAGCCTGTTTTTCCTAATCCTGCTGACTGCAGCAGTCTGCAGCCATAAAAAGCCTCCACAGACCCAACGTGCCTCTGCGAAGAAGCAAGAGTGCACACAACATCTATGTTCACTGACGGGACAGGGCAAAAGCCTCCTGATTTAGTGCTAACGAGTTGCAAAGTTCTCTTCTAGGGTCTAAATTTAGAAAATTTACTTCTCTTTTGATGACTTTCATAAACAAAATACCAACACTAAAATTACCAATTTAGGCAGGAGAGGGGGGAGTGTCCTGTCCAGCAAATCAAAATCTCTTCCAAACTCCACTGCAGAGTCCTGGCTGCTGCTTAGCTCGCCACTGTACTAGGGCTGAGCAGGCTAGACCCCTTGGGCCCCTACCATGCAGGTATACTTGATAGGTATGCAAAGGACTCCAGCTTTCAGAACAAGCTACTCGAAAAGCTTAAGCCACTTCCCACTGTCTCTGTGGACAGGGCTGAAGGCACCAAATAGCTCTAACAAACTACAATAGTCATTCCTATAACCTGATCTAATAGACAAATGCTGGTTTGTGAAACTACACCACTTCAGTCCATGTGATCATACTCCATCAGAAGCTGTTAGGAGGAGCTGCAACTGCAAAGTAAATAACAGGGGTCCAAGAGAAAAACAACACTTAAGTCACCCCTTCACACATATAACCTTTGACTTTCTGCACAAATAATTCAATTCCCCCAGATTGTAAAGCAGATCCTATTTCCTACCAACAGCTTAAAACAAGCAACTCTTAATCTTACTTTTAAAACACAAAACATCCGAGCTACTTGCCTTTTGGCAATTTCTGTGCATTTCCCAGAGCAAGTGCAATACTTCCACAGAGAAGCAGACACCCCAGGCTGGAGAGCATGTTGCATTTGCCTGCTCACACGGGGAGTGATGCTGGGTGCCTTGCAACCCTGGAACTGCATTTAAGTGGGCGTCCTCCACTGACAGAGTCGGGCGGCTGCACTGAGCTCTGCTGTGGGCTTACTCACAGGAGGTGGAGACAGGATGACATCACACCCTTTCCCACACACTCAAAAAAAAAAAAAAAAAAAAGTAGGCACAACAGCAAAAACATATCATCACGTTTCCCTCTGCAATGTTATAACAGTCTGCCTCCTCTCTTTCTCCTCTGATACAAGGGGAAATTATTAAAATTATAGCCAATTTGTATTCGTGAAAGAAGAGCTAGCCAGGCAACTTTGGAACAGTTGATGAACTTGTTTAGAGAATAAAAAGGTGTACCTAATCCCATCAAAACATTTAAATGTAAAATGAAATTGTATCAGGAAGAAAACTGTTTTTAATTAGCCAGGAAGCCAATCCAATTCTTTTTTTTTTTTTTTTAATGGGAGTAAATTCATGAAAAGATACTTTGAACTATTCTGCAGCTAGAACGCTATGAGAAACTTCGAGAATCCTAAGCTATGCAGTTATAAACTGTGTACACAGGTACACACACATACAAATGCACACATATATGTGTGTGTATGCATATGCACATATCCCGTAGGTGTGATGTTGAGACAGAGATGCAGGGTACTGCCTCTTTCCCACACTGGGCTGGCCTCTGCAACCGTGGCATGGTGGCTGTGCTGGAACTATGGTGCTATCGTCAATCTCCGCTTTACTCTAAGAAGAACTGAGGTCTACAGAGGAGAGGTGTTCTGACCATGCAAGCAGAGCCTACCAAATAATAATTCGGACAGGCTTTGTAACAGAACTACTGACTTTTCTATTTAGGTCCCACCTACCTGCTCTGAACAAACTTCTTTGCTATGGTGTCGATACTGTTTATATTACAGGGCCTGCTCCATGGCAGACATCTATCTAATCAATTTACACATTGCTAAGGTATTCATTCTTCAGATCCATCTATGGGAAAGGCATCACGGCCACTTTTATTTTTGATGGAAAACTGACCAAAGGGAGGTGAAGGAAAAGGCCCAGTGTGGTGGCACCAATTAGTAATGCTGGCATTTAAGTGGGACATGTGACCGAGCCCTCCAAGTCAACCTTACTAAACTCTGAATTCTAAAAATAAGGATGAGGGCCAGGAACATGGTTAGCTCTTTAAGCATGAGGATCTGAGTTCAGATCATACTGCCCTCATAAAAAGCCAAACATCACAGCGTGCAATACGATTAGCACGGGGGAGACAGAGATCAGAAGGGCCTAGAAGCTTACTGTATAGCCAGCCTCGCTGAATGCACGATCTCTAGATTCAGCAAAACACCTTGTCTCAAAAGGTGAGCTCAACTGGAGAAGACACCCAAAGTCAGCCTCTGGCCTTCAGAGGTAGATACACAGGTAAAGGAATATATCCATACACAAGTGCACATAGATACAAACACATAGACACACACATGCAAACAAAAAATAGAAAGGACAGTTTTGTAAATTTGCTAGTAGTGTGTTTGTATTTACCATAGTGTCTGGCACACAGAAAGTATACCCAGTACACAGTGGTGGACGCCACAAACAATAATAAATGGCAACAACAGCAGAGCCTTAATTAAGAAGAATCTTAATGACTGTGCTTATCTGGGAATTCCTTGTGTGTGCCCTTCTCTGCGACATCACATTGCCCCAAATACAAGCACGCTGCGCAGTGAGCTGGGCCCGCACAGTGCTCTGAGTGCTGTTTATATATTTATCTTGATCCTTTGGAAATAACCTTTCTCAGGGGGACAGGAGATGCTATAGCTAAGCCAAAATCATCCAGAGGGAAGAATGGCATTGGTCAAAATAAGCTTCGTGGGGTGGCTTGCCGAAAGAATAAAGAGAACCTAAAGAGACAATGCCATCTTCCAAATAACGTGAGAGGAGGTTCAGATCATCCATTGCCGGCAGCCTGAGCCCTCACCATAGGAATATTCTGGCACTGGCCTTGGAAGGGGGTAGGGTATTTAACATGTCTTCCTGGGCTCTGATTTTCTGCTTGAGCAGGCAGTGCTCTCAGGCCTGAAATTCACACGCACCTAGCTGGCCCTTCCAGGCGCTATGGGTTATGGGTGTTAGCCCATAACCACCAACCTATCCCAGCAAGGCCACAATATGAGAGGGAATGACTGATTTCTAAGGAAGTCAACCTAGCAGAAACACTGTAAAGAAGGCTCGTCCTTCAAAACAGTGTGAGGCTGGTGTAAGACTTAGGTAATGGAATTCAGGGATCAGACTGCTTGGCCAGCAGACGAAGCCTGGTCCACATGAGAAGTCATTATTTGCTGCTTGGAACCAACTAATTAAATCAAGGCCAGCCTCTAATATTTTGTCAGGAAAAGATGTCCTAGTTAGTAGGACGAAGAAGTACTCCGGAGACACACTGACAGTGTGAGAGCTCAGGCCAGACACAGGGAGCGGCTTGAAGAAACGGACCTCACACACAGGCCATGTCAGCTCCCAAGGACTACAAAAGCTTCTGTCTTCAGAGTCCCAACACAAACAGTATGAACACATCCTTTCTCACATGACCAAGACCTCAGGGCTTGGGTCATATCATCATAGGAAGGTTTTAGGCTATTCTAAAGGAAAAATTGAGCCTCGCCTGGGGCACAGTGGAGGCGAATTTGGAATTGTTTGTGCGACTCCATTTGGTTTCTCCATCTTCACTAACAGATGACTAGTTAAGACAGTCTTACTTGAATGAAAATGTGGAAACACCTAACTCCAGATACTTGTAGACTACTAAACTCATTGTCACTAATATTTGTGAAAAATTATGTCAAAAGAATCTTTAGGAAGCACTATTTGAGAAACACACAAAATGTCACCATTACCTGTTGTTATGAAAATAGGGACCATCTATTTCTTGCTTATCACTGTCCTCACTTCGTATCGAGGACATACGAAGCAAGTGTCAAAGGAGATCCAACTCACAGATTCTGAGAATCCCCTAACAGTCCTAGGTTAATGCAGAGCACACTGGAATGCAACCTGAAATGCAGTTCTTAAAAGTCAGTTCTCCAAGGACCCTCCTGCTTCTGCAGCTCTTTTAAAGAGGCACCATTTCCCTGTGTTAGACTACCTCCTCAAAAAAACCACACTATAATAGCCTTGGAAGACGGAACTGTGTTAGTCTAAGTGCAGTGTCTGTCTAGAGCAAACAGAATACATGTTGTCTCCTGTCATAAAAGATTTGTTCCTGTTCTGTAATATTACCCATGTCGTATACAGATTATATTCTTTATGTTGCTCTGTAAAAATTGGGAGTGTAAGCTGTGATGAGAACAATATTCTGGCTATTGCTATGGCTATGGCTATGGCTATGGCTATGGCTATGGCTATGGCTATGGCTATGGCTATG